TGTGAGTAGCTCACTCAAGTTTTTCATGGTTTACATTTTACCATCGGTTGATTGTTTTTCATAAAGGAGCGTTTGAAAATAAGCTAGCTTTCCTACAAGTGGTCATGCCAAATGGAATTATTTTTCACATTTGCGAATCACTCCCTTGCCGAGCGCTGCCGCATCACCCTGCCGTTAAGTTTCCATCCGCACTTTGAATCGCTTTTTTCGTCCAGTTTTAACAATCCTTGACTCACCAATATAGTCTATTGCTTCTCACTTTATTCACCTGTCTCATGTGCTACATGTGTCATGTCGACCTCCGGCTGACAAACCTACACGACATATGTTGCGTGCGGGTGGTCATGGTGCGACTTCGTGCACCACACGTGTGCTGCCGGCAGGGTCATCGTTGGTGGACGGCTGTTACAGCGGAGTTAGTTCGTGCCTGGGCACAAATCTCCAATGATAACCCGAATGAAGTACATAGCTAGAACTATACGGGCGACTATTTAGGCCTGACCAGAAGTATGAGGGACCAATCGGAAAATTTACTGACAAGGCCCAATAGTTCAGGCTCAAAGACTTCCTTAGTCCTATGTATATGCTCGTTTCGCTATATTGCCTGAAAAACATTACAACGAAGTTAGAGCAATTGAAGTCGAAGTAACGAACAAACAAACAAACAAACAAGTTTGACCGAAAGCCTTGGAGCTACGCTATGTTTATCACTACTTACTATGCCACATAACAACATATCAAATTGAGCATATTCTGTGCAATAAAACATGCAAAGGATGTGATCAAGAGGATCTGTGTAGAGGTAAAACAACAACACCAGTATATTGTAGTACACACATTACGGCGGCATACGAAGTGAACCATCAAGACGGATTACTTCTCCGTTGAGATAGCGATTCTGAATGATATGTTGCACTAGTGCACCGAATTCTTCGGGGCTTCCCATTCGCGATGGATTGGGGACCAGTTGAGCTAGGAATGTCCGGACCTGAAAGATGTCAAGTTACAAGGCTTACGGCTTAGACCGCTCCCAAAATTTCCCGCTCTTTACACTGATTCACTGATCCCTCGATATTATTGCTACCAATCAGAAAACTGCGACAAAGTAAAGTTCGCTTCTAAGCCTGAAATTACAAAAAATTCCTCGCTCTTGACCCCCTTCCCCATCCTCTTGACTTGGACATACTTATTCACGACAGAAACCAAAGCTTTGCCCTATCGTCGCTTTATGGCTCGAGTTCTAGAAAACTAAATGCTCAATTGCTTGTAAATTCACGCCGGCATCTTGGAGAGTTTACGGCCTATAAAAACCTCGAAAAGTTCGGAGCTGCTTAGATCGGAGCTGATTGATTTCCCACAATTCAAACGGATGGGACGGATGCCAACCACAGAAAACTAACTAAGTTTTGAAATGCGAACGAATCTATCAAGCGGTATCTTCCCTTTACTTAACTATGAAACTTTTCCACCACTGAAGAGAACGTAGCGTTTAAATTGATACTCTTCATGGTAGAGGACTTCGTGTCGGTAAATAAATATTTTGATTCCACTCCAAAAATCAAGGATACGAAAAAATGACTACCCTCCCTTGCTATTCACCGTATTTGGAAATACATTCAGCAGCCGCAATAAGACCAGAAAGTAGTTTGAAGTGTTTTAGACTTTCGAAACATTATGAACCACCACACGCGGCCAATTTTCAAAGGTGGAGCTGCTTATTTCTTGTCACGCATAAACCTCGTCAGGATAATTCACACTGAGACATTCCATAATGTGCTGTCATGGCACCATCATGGCACAAAACGTTCCTACGAAAGATAGAGCTTCGTGCATCGTTGATGGTGAATGTCAGTTACACAAGATATCCAAATCAGGATTGGCATTACACCTTTTCAACTATTGCCCAAATTATGAAAGTTTTGTGTAGGCAACCAACCGCAATTTCAAATCATTCTACCAGTTGGACTGGCTATTCACAGCAAGCAAATCGCAGGATTAAAGCTTGAAAACAGAATTTTCACCAACCTTTTCCGGGAGTGAAGAAAGCAGAGGCGTGTCAAAAAGTCCAGGAGCAATTGCCATGAAACGTATCCCGTCATCCGCAAAGTCTCTCGCAAGGGGAAGCGTCATTCCTACAATCGCGCCTTTTGACGCTGAATAGGCTGACTGAAAAGGGAAACGTAACTTCTTACAAAAGAAAAAACAAAGACTCGATATTCGATAAAATGCGAACCTGCCCAGTTTGCCCATCAAATGCGGCCACAGATGCAGTGCTTACTACAACACCACGTTGACCGTGTTCATCTTTCTCGTTTTCTCCAATTAGAGCCACTCCATGACGAATAACATTGAAAGTACCCATCACATTAACCTAGGGACGATGAAAGTCAGCTTGTACAGCTTTAATGCTACAGAGCCGACCCTGTTACCTCGATTGTTTTCCGAATCTTCTCTGGATCAGCCATCTTCTTCTTGGTGACGCTGTATAGTTTAAATGCCATTGCCACTCCAGCACAATTCACAATTGCATCACATCGGCCAAATTTGTTTTTTACTTGATCGAAAGCAGCTTGAACCTCAGAGTCAGCAGTGATCTAGAAGAAATACAAGCATTTATCTTTCTCAACTCTCTCATCAGTTATGGCAATGATGAGGTGCGTTAACCTTCTGGGGATTCTTTCCAGCCCAAAGTCAAGTTCCTCCCCTCTCGGAAAGCCCGCCCACTTCCTACATACATGACTTGAGCATAAACTCATAGGACACTGAATAGGTTTAGCTGTCTGAGCTCGAATTTAGCGCGAGAGCATGATCTTTATGAAGTAAACACTAACATCTGTTGGAGTAAACAGCGCATTCTGTCCAAGTTCTTTGGCTACGTCTGCACCTTTCGATGATGGCAAATCCAAAATGGCGACGTTTGCTCCTGCTTTCACAAGAGTCTCAGCGGTGCCACGCCCAAGTCCTGAGGCGCCTCCAGTTATCACAGCAACCAGCCCCTAAACAAAACAAGAAAATTCTATGTTTGTTTACATTCATAATACCGTAATAGAAATGTACCTTCGTCGAGCGGAGAATCGACGCCATTGGGTACCCTGAAACGAAGAAATTTTTGTATGACAAACATCCCTTCGATGTGGTAAAAACTATGTCGCATCGCTTCTCGTCGTGTACATAGCACTACACAGTTGAACAAAACAACACAGCACAGTCACAACAAACAACAATATGCGAAAAAGGTCTAGAATCCCAAACAGCGGGGATCAGTCGGCATATAGGAAGTTGGCAACGATCAAACATTGTCTGAGATCAGATGGAAGAAGGGATATTTCTTTGTAAAACTATGCAGTCAGGCTCACCCCTGCGCGACTACCCATTAAAAGAATTCACATTTGCAAAGCTAATAATGCCTACCAATAATAAAGTAAGACCATCCACCAATCAATGGAACCCTTCAAACCAGAAAAAAAAGAGATCGCATTTCTGTAGTGCATACGTGCGACCCACAAAACCTGTTTTGTACGATGAACTATGTGTATAAGAATATGACCGCATACGATCACTAACCAATTTCTGGCCTGACCACTTTTTGGAGACTTCGATAAAGTAGTGCTATACACATTTAAATAACATGAGCTGGAAGAAAAGTTCTTACAATGTTTATCACATATGGTACCAAGAAAAACACGGGAAAATGAGAATTTGGTTGCA